AAAAAAAGAAAAGAAAAGAAAAAGAAAAAGAAAAAAAACAGGCCTTTTGACTTTGAAAAGCTTTTCAGTTTTGTGTGTTTTATGAAAATAACAGGAAAAAAAGATCATCTTTAAATCTGACTGAGTTTTATTCATTGTACTTTGAGGAAGTTTAGGGTCTCTTGTTGCACAAATAGAGTGCACCCATTTTTTTATCCCATTGGTCCTAAGTACTCACTTTCCCTTGTTAAATTCCATGGCTAAATTTTTTTGATGACTTTGTTATATCAAATCAAGACAGCTTAAATATAGACATGGCACAGTGCTGTCTATCATCCACCCTTACAACGTGCTATCTGTAGTGCGCACAACTTCGTACCTGTAGAATCCACAGAAGTTGTTATCTCAAGTGCTGCTCCTTTCCAAGATCAACTGCTATTAGATGTCCATATTCCATTGATGTCATTGTTTCAGTGTGTGAATTAATATAAAAGGATCAGAGGTAAATTTGACAAATGGTTAAAAAAAAAAGTCTCTGAAATATGAAGATTCTCTGCTACAGGTTGAAATAATTCACATCTGTGTGGTTCAGGGAGAAAGTTCTAATTAGTTGAGACATCTACCCTGGCCCATTTCAACAGGCAGCTGATGCCCTGGTAGCAATTTTTGTGACTGAGCTCAAGAGACCATCGGTGTCTCGAGCAGCACTGGGGAGAAACGGAGACAGCATTTCCCCTGTGCCGATGGCCCGCCTGAGCCCTGACTACTCCGGTGCGTGTTCTGCAGCTCAGACAGTGCTACCGGTGAATGTGGATTCTCTGGACCGCATCTGAATGAGTCAGGCCATTCATTTGGGGAATTTTGTCTGTCTTTGTGATTGAATACTAATAGATTCTATCTGGTAAAGCACAGGTATATTGTTCCTATCATGGAAATATGGAGGAAATTGCTAATTTAAATGTCCAAGTTTAGTTAATCTGTGATAAGATCTGAGAGCATATATGCAACAAATTTATGAGTGTAATGGGAAATAGTCATCCATATTTTAGTTGTTCTCTTGCCTCCAACATGATTTTAAGGTGAAATGGCCCCCCTGGTCCTTGGCTTCCACAGAAGAGATTAACAAGTCACCAAGTCATGGAATAGCAGCATCTTTCAAACAGAACAAAAGAAAATCATCTTCTGACCTCTGTGTTGCAGATGGAGTGGTTACATGAACAAAATCATAGTCATTGTTGATTTATTTTTTAGAAGTCCTAAGAAGCATCCATGGACTCTCTGAATTTAAACATTCAGCCATGTTGTTGTCAGGAGCACACAAATACTATTTGGTGTGAGTCTACAGCTTTTCTTATATGTGCCATAAAGGAAAGACATGGCACTAAGTGGCAGAAGGAAAACACAGGGACAAAAAGTGCAAGACATGACTTTCATGACAATTCCATTTGACTAGACCCACCTTATAATGGGAGGCTATTTCCGTGTTGCTGTTACTTGAAATTATTGGGGGGCAAGTTTTTCAACATTAGGAAATTATAGATAGTCTCTAATGTCAAGTCAGAAACTCATGACTGAGAATGTACTTAAAGAAAAGGACCCCAGACACCTGTTTCCACATGACATAAACAGAGGTTTCACTCTGAATTCAATCCCCTAGTCCAGACCACAGAGAAGACCACAGTCACCACTACTGCCTGTCTGGGGTCAGCAGGGATGATTTCAGTTTGGCTCCTGAGCAGGCCCTCGTTCCTCTAGAGCATGGGTTTTTGTTCAGCTTTTACAATCACTTCAGACACAGTGGTTTCCCTGAGGGCACAGAGATACGTGGCAGAATCATCCAATTTTAAGGACACAATGTTGAGGGAGATGGATTTGACTGCCTTCTGGAAGCTTATAGAATAGCGACCCTTTTCTGCATTGTTGGCTGAAGAGTACTGATGAATGATATAAGTCATCTTTCCATCAGGAAGCTGCTTGTACCAATACAGGTAGTATGTGCTTAGGCTTGTTTCATAGCGACACTTCAGGGTGACTTTTGACCCTTGTCGTGTGACTATAGTTGGCTGGTTTTGAGTTACTTTCTGAGCCACACTGGAGCCTAAGGAGAAATCAGAAGACACAACTGATGGATGCAATGAATTAAACATAAGAATTAGACTAATTTTGTGCTCAAAGATAAAGCACATTGAAATCACCACCTGCTCTCCCCAGCCCATGCCAAGCACCCTGTGCCCGGTGCTGTCCCTCCACCCTCCCCACCCCCGCCTGGCCCCAGACCTACCAGAGCAGGTGAAGGCCACCAGTGCCCACAGCAGGCTGGAGGGCGCCATGGGCGTGTGTGCCTGACACGGTGGCAGTTGTGCCTCTCACTGTCTGTGAGAGCCCAGAAACACATTTATGCAGTTCCTGGGGCTTGATGTTGCTCCCCCACAGGAAATGGGGTTTCTCATGTTGCATTGCCAGCATGGTTATGCAAAAGATAAGAGTCTGGCTTATACCAAACTTTGACTTTTCTACTTGTCTTTCCCTGGTAATTATATGAGGCAGTACATGAGAAGTGACATGATAAAAGCAAGTAGCTTACAAATTTGAGCTGAAGGGAATAAATTTTTTAATTATTTGACATGCATACATAAACATATAACTCACATGGGGTTATAGTTTAATTTTCATTTTAAAGACATAACAATTACGTGTGTTTCCCCCATGTTTATTAGCTATGAGCTATCAGACTTGTGAACTGTTCTTCACAATCTTGCCCTTTTTATACTTGCCATTTATGTTGACTTCTATGAGCATGTCACATCTTCTACATTTGGTGGCTTTTCCAGAAATATGTCTTGCAAGTGTAGTTTAAGACCCTATACACTGGCTCTTGACATTCTTTCTGTTGTTTTTTTTTTTAAGTGATTTATTTACTTATGCATATAGAACAGGGGTACAGATCAGAGGTGCAGGGCAGTGAGAGGATTCACCAGAGACAGAGTGGGGAGCAGAACAGGCCGACTAATGAAGTACAGTGCTGAGGGGAGCAGCGGATGAGACAGAAGAGGTCTGCTGCGCCATGTGGGTCACCTCCAGGGCCCGGGATTGAACTAGCACTGAAGTGCCTGTGGCCAGCTTGCAGTGCTGTGTCCTAACCTGTTGCACCACCAACTTTTGACATTCTTAACAGAGACTTTTTACACTGATGGTAAAAATCATACTTGTTTATGGGAAACTCGCTTGATGGTGTGTTTATTTTATGTAAGCAATGTAAAAATGTTTCCCCCTAGTGGTATCTGTTACTTATGTTCAAAAGTTTGGCATCATTCTCAATGTGTTTCCAGACTATGCTTTTCTTTGAATATTGTTAAGAGCCTCCTCTCAACTTAAAGACACTTTGAAAATGGATTTTCCTCTCATACCTGCAATGTTTCTAGCAAATGAAAGGAATGGAATTGCAGGATTCCTTATTCCACTTTAAAGAAATTCTATGAAGCTCTGCTCCTGAAAAGGAGCTTGTTTTACATAAAACTCAGGTATAGCACTGAGGAGAGGTGCTTTCTATAAGCAAGGACATTATGCAGTGGGTAGGCATAATTATAATTCCCAGCTACGACCACATGATGATCTGTAGATGTGGTCAGGAAAACTCTTTTGCAATGTAATAATATTTACATTAACCATTATTTTACTCCCTTTAACCATTTGCATACCTTCATTAGCCTAAGATTTCTGGTTAAAGTTAACCATGTTGGCTAATTACTCTGGTTATTCATAAAGCCAATTGCATGAGGTCTAATATTGTGGTTTATCTCTTTTCCTATGTCACACACAGTGTTTTGCTTCTCTGACGATACCTTAGTTGACACCAACCCTAAAAGCAAAGGACCCAGTAAATATTTAAAAAGACAATTCCAGCTGCTGGAGACAGCCTATGATGTGGAAATCTTGACATGCAGCTACTGCTGCATTTATCATGGGGCAGGTTTTTTCTTTTCTTTTTTTATACTTTTTTTTCTCTTGTTATATAGTAGAACTGGGTATAGACCAGATGTGTGGGGGACTGAGAGGATTCATCAGAGTCAGATAGTGAAAGAATGCAGATTTACTGAAATAAGCTGCCGCGGGGACCAGCGATGAGACAGGAATAGTCTGCTGTGCCTCGTGGATCACTTCCCGGACCAGGGACCAAAATCAAGCCACAGTGGTGACAATGCTTAGATTTAACCCCTAAGCCTCTGGGGAGGCGCTTGGAGCAGCATTAGACAATATACATATGTTCTGTCTGATTGATTTGAAGTCAAAATATTATGACAGAGAGTGTATTCAAGGAAGGTTAATCTGGAGAACTCCTTTCAAGTAACATAGAGAGAGGGTTTACTCAGAAATCCACCCAGACCCAGAGCACAGAAGAAGCCATTAAAGTCACCACTATTGCCTGTCGGGATGTGCAGGTGTGCCTACAGCTTGGCTCCTGACCAGGGACCTTGCTCTTATTCAGCTCTGGGTTTTTGTCCAGCTTTTACTATCACTTCAGACACAGTGCTTTCTAGGAGAGCGCAGAAATACTTGGCTGAATCTTCCAGTTGTACAGATGAAATGGTGAGGGAGATAGCTTTGCTTATTTTCTGGAAATTTATAGAATAGCGACCCTTTTTGGCATTGTTGCCAAAAATTGAACCGTGATACATAAGGAGTGAGATCTTTCCATTAGGAAGCTGCTTGTACCAATACAGATAGTAGCTAGCTTGTCTTGTTCATACTGGCAATTGAAGGTGACTACTGACTCCACTCGTGTGACTATGACAGGCTTGTTTTGGACAACTTCCTGGGCCACACTGAATCCTGTGGGAAACCCAGAAAATACAACAGATGTAGTGAATAAAACAGAAATATTATACTATTTACAAAGATAAACCACATTGAAATCATCACATGTTTGCTTCAACCCTTCCTCCATTTTTCATCAATCCATGTCAAGAATCAAGTATAATATTTGATACTTGATACTTCACCCCCTGAAACTCCACCAGGCCCCCAGCCTACCAGAGCAGGCGAAGGCCATTAGTGCCCACAGCAGGCTGGAGGGTGCCATGGGGTGTGTGTGCCTGCCTCTGTGGCAGTTGTGCCTCCAGCAGGGAGCCCAGTGTCTCTGAGAGCCTGGAGGGGCATTTATATAGTTCTAGGGGTGAGGCACCTCCCCTACAGGAAGTGGGGTTTCTTATGTTCCAGTGAATGCTGGGTCACACACAGATAGAAGAGTCTGGCTCACCCAAACCTTTATATTGTTACTTGTCCCTCCCTAATATCTTAGGAGGAAGTCACTGCATAAAAAAGGATATGAAAGAAAGAATTCATATTACCGATTAGAGCTATGGGAAAATGAAGACTGAATCATTCATAATTCTCAGTGCAAAAATTTGGGGGATTCAAATAGAATATGCTATGGATTTCCCCCTCCCTGCAAGTATTTAATGCTCATTCACTTACCTTCTATTCACTTCACTCTATTTAAAATCTAAAGAGTTTTTTTTAAAATTCATGGATCTGAGACTTTCTCAGTGAAGACTAACTTATTCAAAACAACTAGTGATTCTCTTTCTTTTTCCTACTGAGTTACAGGGTTCATTAAAGTTTTAAAGTAACAAAGCTGCTTCAAATAAAAGTCAAATGGTAAAAGGCCAGTTCTTCTGAATTGAGAAGCTTTTCAGGTTGGTGTATTTATGAACATAACAGGAAAAACAGGTCATCTTTTGAATCTGGCACTGAGTTCTATTACTATCCTCTGAGAGGGTCCGGGTCTCAGGGCTCTTGCTGCACAAGTGGGGAGCACCTAGCAGATCACACGTGCCCGAGTGGCGCTGATGTCACACTTAATCCCACGGCCTCATGTGGTCTCCTCCTTTGTCAGAATCCATGGCTGATTGTTTCTGTTAATTTATTATATCAGCTCAAGATAAGCTCGCTAAACCTCTACATGGCACAGTGCTGTCTATAATCCACTCCCACGATGTACTGTCTGTAGCATGCACAGCTTCGTACATGTGAATCCACAGAAGTTATTTCAAGTCCTGCTTCTTTGCAAGATCTCCTGCTATGTAGGTTCCATTGATGTAATTGTTTCAATGGATGGATTTATATAAAAGGATCAAAGGTAAATTAGATAACTTACAAAAGGAGTCTTGGAACTATGAAAATTCTCTGCTACAGGTCAAAATAACATCTGGGTGGTTCAGGGAGAAAGTTCTAAGCAGTTGAGATATTTACCCTGGTCCAATTTGCCCTGAGATCGACAGGCAGCTGATGCCCTGTTTGCAGTCCTTGTAACTGAGCTGTGACCATCAATGCCCACAGCGCCGGGGGACACCATGAAGGCAGCATTTCCTCTGTGTCATGCCCCTGCTTTGTGCCGAGACAGCACAGGGGCTAGTTTCTGCACCTGAGTCGGTGCCGCCTGTGCATGTGGTTTCTCTGGGTCATGTTTGTATGAGTTTAGACTTCCAGTAAGATATTTGGCCTTTCTTTCTGATTAAATAATAACAGTTACGTTTCGTAAAGTACAGGCATCTAGTTCCTATTATAAGAAATAATACAGAGCTTGATTACTTAAAATTTCCAAGTGTGTGAATTAAGAGCTGAGAGCATATCTGAAAAAATTATTGGTGTGATGGTAAATATTCGTTCATATTTTAATTGTTCTCTTGCTTCTAAGCTGATTCTAAGGTGAAATGGGCCCTGGTTCTGGTTTCCATATAAGAGATTAACAAGTCACCAAGCCCTTTTTCCTACTCAGCCACCAAGTCATTTAATAGCAGCATCACTCAAACAGAAGAAAAGCAAATAATCTTCTGAATTCTACATTAAAGACTAAATGTAGTCTTTAATCAATAAAATCATATTCATTGTTGATTTATTTATTAGAAGTTCTAAGAAGAACCCAGGCATCCTCTGAATTCAACCATTCAGACATATTGTCAGGAGTACATGCACACTATTGGTGGGAGTCTAGAGCTCCTTCTATATTTATCGTAAAGGATAAACATGGCACAAAATGCTGAGAGGAAAACATAAGAGCAAAGGGCACAAAAAGGATTTTTCAGGACCATCCATGATGCTAGATACAATATGTATTGTGAAAATCTTTAATATAGTTACACTGTGGAATATTACTCAGTAGTCAAAATATTAAACTCATGCTCTTCGCAGTAACATAAATGGAGCTAGAAGGTATTAAGTTCAGTGAGATAAGCCAGAAAGAAAAAGGAAAATCCCAGTGTTCACACGTATGGGAGGAATGTAGAGAAGCCAAATAATCAGGAAAAAAAAAGTAACTATAATAAAGTAAAAATAAAACTCACAGGCAACTATAGACTAGAGAAATTCTGTAGGGGAGCAGGAAGGAGAAGGATTAGGAAGAAAACAAGGGACTATGATGATGGTGCAAAAGTGAATTGGTGGTGGAATTTCGCAGGGTAACATTCATTGTACAAAAATGAAGGATTATGTAATGAATATACTGAAAATTTTCTTTTTTAATTTTGACATTTTTTTTAAAACTCTAAAAAATCTTTAAATGCACTTGCCACTGGAAATTGTTGTGGGGCAAATGTTTCAACACTAGAAAACTATACATATTCTCTGAAAACTGATTTCCAGTTAAATATGCACTAGAGAGAGGTCCTCTGGATACTTGTTTCCAATGACATCAATGGTTGAACTTAGAACTCAAGCCCCTCATCTAGACCACAGAAGAAAAACCAGCCATTGCCGCTGACTGTCTGGGATGTGCAGGTGTGAGTTCCACTTGGTTTCTGTTCTGAGTTGTTCCCAGCTCTCATTTAGCGCTGGGGTTTTTGTTCAGCTTTTACTATCACTTCAGACACAGTGCATCCCTGAGGGCACAGAAGTACCTGGCTGAGTCATCCAATTGTAAGGACACAATTTTGAGGGAGATGGATTTGTCTGCCTTCTGAAAGTTTATAGAATAGCGATACTTTTTTGCATATTTGGCAGAAGAAGAATACTGATGAATAATGTAAGTCATCTTTCCATCAGGAAGCTGCTTGTACCAATACAGGTAGTATGTGCTTAGGCTTGTTTCATAGCGACACTTCAGGGTGACTTCTGACCCCTCTTCTATGGTTGTAGTTGGTTGATCTTGAATAACTTTCTGGGCCACGTTGGATCCTGTAGGGAAAATCAGACTACTGAGCTAATGCAGAGAATAAAACATTATAAAATTAAATATTTGCACAAAGATAAAGCACATTGAAATCATCACCTGCCTGCTCTCCCCAGTCCTCCACCCTCATCCATGCCAAGAACCACATGCCCACTGCCTCACTTCATCCTCCCCACTCCCACCTGGCCCCAGACCTACCAGAGCAGGTGAAGACCACCAGTGCCCACAGCAGGCTGAAGGGCGCCATGGGGCGTGTGTGCCTGACACTGTGGCAGTTGTGGCTCCAATGGGGAGCTCAGTGGCTGTGAGAGCCTGGACGGGCGCTTATGTAGCTCCTGGGGGAGATGCTGCTCCCCACACAGGAAATGGGGTTGCATTACCACCCTGTTACATACAGATCTAAAAGGAGTCTAGCACACCACAGACTTGGACATTCTCTTCTTCTCTTCCCCAGTACTTAAGTTATTTTATATGTGAAAATCCAAGTAGCATTACTGGTCTGAACTGGATTGATTCATTCAATACACATTGATGATATTCAGGGGATAATAAGTAGAATAATTTGGGGGCCAGATTGATAATAAAACATATTATGCAGGTGGCACCTTCTTGTATGTATTGAATGGTCATTCTCGGGCCTTCCACTCATTTCTCACTATCCAGAATCTAATGAACTTTTAAAAAAATTCAAAGTGGTCTGTTTTTTCAAGGAGGACTGTCCTATTACAAACAAATACTGTGTGTCTTTCTTCTTCCTTAATGGATTTTAGAGATCTGCCTAAGTTGTAGAATAAATGAGGCTACTTCAAAAAAAAAATCAAATGATTAAAGATCAGTCCTGACATTCAGAGCAATTCAATTGTTCATATGTTTATGAACTTATAACAGTGATAAGATGTTACTTTTGAAACTGACACTGATTGTTATTTATTTGACTCTGAGGAGGGTTCCAATGCTCAGTATGATTCGTCCACAGTTAGGTTGCCACGACTAGATCACCTGTCCTGGGATGGCCCTGTAGTCATCCTTTTTTATCCCATTGCCAATATGTTCAGTTTCACTTGTTAAATTCCGTAAGTGGGTTCTTTTTTAAACTTCTCAAGTTAAATCTCATTAAACAAGCTCATCTTCCTGGTACAGTATTAGCTATACTCTGTTCCTACGGATGTAATGTCTATCAGTTGTCCACACTCAGGACACATAACCCACACAGGTTGTGGGCTGAACAGTGTGGCATATTACATGATCACGTGCTAAGTACTAGTGAATCTCCCATGTGTTCATTGTTTCAGTGAACAAATTAATAGAAAAGGATAAAGAGCTGAAAAAGAAAGGACAGACAGGGTCTGTGAAACGAGAGTACAGAAGATTCTAAGAAACAAGAGTATAGAAGATTCTATTCAAGAGTATGAAGATTAACAAGAGTATAGAAGGGTCACAGTAACTCATGGCTGGCCGCGCAGGGACAGAGCTCGAATCAGTTGAGACACCCAGCTGGCCCACGTGGCCTCCTGCAGCAAGCACTGGGGTGCTCTGACTGCAAGTTTTGTCACTGAGCTGAGGCCATCAACGCCCACAGCACCTGGGGACATTGTTTCCCCTGCCCATGCCCTGCCCCGTGCCCTGACAGCACAGCTGCAAGTTCCTGCAGCTCAGACGGTGCGGCCTCCAGCAGTAATTCAACGAGAGTGAGCGTGATCCACCAGTAGGTGGATAGAGAGCAAATGACAGCCAGAGCTTGTGCGACTGTCTGCAGGCCCCCATTAGTGCGTATTTTGAGTGAAATGTGGTCTCTGCCGGGCCAGGTCTAAATGAGTCAGGACCCGCCTGGGACATATGGCCGTTGTCTGTGATGCAGTAGCAATAGGTGACATCTGCAAGTAGGAGGCATTTAGTTCATATTAAAAGAAATATTAAAGGTGACTGATTACTAAAAATTTCCTGTTTGATGAATTAATCTGTGATGAGAACTGATGGCATACCTGAAATAAATTTGTAGGTGAGAAAGGAAATATTCATCTGCATTTGGTAGTTCTTTGCCTCCAAACTGAAACAAATGAGAAAGATGCCCCCTGGCTCTTGGCTTCTAAGTAAGAGACACCAGAGTCCCCACACCCTCCCTCCTGCGCCAAACAATGGAAATCAGAATAAGCTGACTTGTGTCTTGTCTCCATGTGGAACTAGAATTTCATGGCAATGTAATGAAATATTCATTGATGATATAACTTGATATTTAATTTATTCAAAATTCTAGGAAAGGAATGTCTGTGAGTCCAAGAGTGTCAATATTCTGCCACACTGTTGCTATGAGCACACAAATGTTTGGTGAGATTCTATGACTCTGCTGTAGTTGTCACAAAACAAATGTATGTCCAATGGGTTGATTATCAATAAAAATATTCAAAACTATAATAACAATAATGTTTCCAGAATAGAAATATGTCCTTTTATGAACAGTGAAGGAGTTCATTTCTTTCCCATTTTTATCCTGAAATTAAATCTGGAGAAAGGCTTCAGGTCAAATACTCAAATTCCAAAAATATCATAATAGTGGAGAAAAACTGAATGAGTGTGTGGGCAATGGTCTTCTAACTGTCCTCAGTTCCTTACAGAAATCTCCAAACACAGAACCACCACTGAGGTTCCCAGATCTTCCATCTCTCTCCCTCTAATCCTTGGGTGTAGTTATTCCCTTACCCTGACCTTGCATCCTAACAAGAACTTTATTCTATTTTAACCCTGCATATCTCAGTCCAAGAAAGCTACAGCAAACAGATAAACATACTATTCCAAAGTACATGCGTATAAATAATTGTGTATAATTTTAAACCTATATTCAGTGACCAGGCTGTACTTTTACGTCCAGGGACTATAAGTGGAAGTTTGTATGTTTGGCCACTTTCACCCATTTCTGCCATGACTTCATGCCCCTCCAAAGCAACCACGAATTTGTTCTGCATACCAGTGAAATTTGTAGCTTTTCCAAACTTTGACATGTAAGTGAGATCATACACCATTGCTTTCTCTGTCTCCTTTATTTTGCTTAACACAGTGCCTTCAAGGTCCATCCGTGTTTTCACAAATGTCACATTTCCTCCTTGTAAGGCTGAATGTTGTCTTTGTGAGTGTGTGTGTTTGTGCACATCTGAGTGTCTGCACACAGGTCTTAATTTCTATTTGTACAATAATAGACAGTTAGGTTGTCTCTTTAGAAGCCCTCTGAGACGCTACCCGCTGCTGCAAGTACAAGTTAGAGATGCTGTTCAAAGTTAGGAAAGGTCTGTGTCATTTCACATCTATGAAAGGTGGGAACAATGGAAATTAGTTTCCAAGGCTTGTGATATTTAAATTAGATAATGGATGAAACTACTTGATTCCTGACATAAGATAGGGTGAAAAAAAAATCAGTTTCATTTTCTCTTAAAAATCCTGCCTTTTGGCCCTCCCTGGTGGCGCAGCGGGTTAAAGCACAGCACTGAGAATCTGAAGCCACTTCCGCATGAGTTCGATTCCGGCCTGCCGCCTGC